TTGCTGAGGGTGCACTCTACTCCCTCATAGGAGAGCATCCCATGGTTGGGGTCTAATTAATGAAGCCTTGATGAAGAACATTCATAATTTTCTGAGTTGGAATTCTTTGCTCTTGTGGGTAGAGGAAGACCACTTTAATCTGTTCCGATTTCCAGAAAGCCTTTTAACACAGTCCCTGTTAGCAAGCTGACGAAGGGAGTTGTGATGAGATGTTTTATTCATAACAGAGTAGATCAAAATGTGGACAGGAGACGTGGAGAAGAACAAAACAACAACCAAAAGCCCTGAGAAGAAAGGCTTCGTAGCTTTTCATCTCAGCATCTCTGACACCAGCGTGCCTGTAACCTTTTCCTGATTATTAAATGCAGGAAATGGGGGAAGGAAAATGTGAGAAGGGGCTGAATTATTGAATGTACTGAAAGCTGGAGGGGTTTTGTAAGGGATGTGAGATGAAAGCATGTTGCAGAGCAAGAAGAAAGACGGGTGATGCGTGGTGGGATAATGAACAGTCCTTCCGCTGGCTCTGAGTCAGCGTGGATTCTGGAGCTGGATGTCACTGGCACTGGGGAGGATCAGTGGTGACATTTGTGTGGGGTCCTGGTGCGTTCGGAACAGCCGAGCGATGCCAAGATGCGGAAGCAAAGCAAGCCAACGACACCATGTGTACAAACGAGCGATTTACCTTCGTGTCGAAGGTGTGCAGCGCCGGCTGCGCTCGCATTAAAGCGGCTGCAGCGGCAGGAGAGACTCAGAAGGAGGTCATGGAGGTCGGGAGACTGGGAGAGCGGCTAGGAGGGGGGACTGCGAATTTGGGGATTTTTTTTGCAGGAAGAATAAAACCCTGGTGACAAAATCTGCAGTACAGTGAGGGCCCTGGGGAGAAGCGGTGACGGTCGTCGCTCCGTACGGCAGAAGAGCATTGGCGTGTGCTGTGAGGTAGAGAAGTGGCCGATTCCAAAGGGATCCGTGGAGATGTATCTCAGGTGCAGGAGCTGGATGCTGTAGGGAATCCTCAAGAAGAGAAACATGAAATTCAGAGTGAAATCGCAAATGCACGTCAATGCTATACCTGTGATTTGCCAACATGAACCCGGAGCTTGCCACAGCGCTCAGTTTTGTGACCCTCCGTGTCACTACAGTCTGGTTTTTTGCTGGGTTTGCTAATTATTGCCAGTGCAGGCGTTATAATCACCTGGGCGCTCGGCTTCTGCTGTAAGATTTTGATTGAAGACAAAAGGAACGAAATCACATTGTTATTGTCCTCTTCCAAATCAGCAGGTTAGTGGTTAGTGCTCACCTGGTTTAGGTGCAGAGTTACGGGGCTCTAGTGCTTGGCAGCGGTTTTAAACCCCAAATTAAAGCTCATCTCACGGGTGACGAAAGCGTTTGCGGCGAGGCAGCTGCTCTTGCTTGCTGGCCGGTTGGAAACGTTAGCTGCTCGGTGTTGGTGGCAGGAATCGTGGCCTCCCGGCCCTCTGACCTGATCTGTGGTTTGTTTGAACGAACTTCAGAGATCCAGGATGCATCAGGAAAAGCCTTGTCGGTTTAACAAAAGCTGACTTTGAAGTCTCTTATTTAAATAACCAGAGGTAATGAAAAGCGTGAGTAATGCGGGAGAGCGGAGTTCGGTGCCTGCTCTGAACCGCGTCTCATTGAATTTGCCACCAGCGTTTTCTGTAGGTCCAGAGAAGAATGAGAAGAGGAAATTGAAAGCGATTTACACTCCGTAAGTAGGGCAGAGCTGGAATTCTGCGGATGTTTTCCATGATGGAAATACATCTCTCTGCCTTGGGTGAGAAGTTGAGGCAATTCTATTTGATACTTGGCACTCCGGGGAGGTGGGTTGGTAGATTCTCAGCAAACCCAGAGGTTTTTTTTGCTGTGACATGTCCTGTTTTGTTGGTGTCTGTTCAGCTGGCTGGGAGACAAGGCAGCTGGCAGGCTGGATTTTCCCTCCTGTTCCACTCGGTGCGTGAGCGGTGGATCCGTTACGGTTACTTGCACGGTTTGACGTGATGGGATTTAGTGTTTTCGTCTTTGTTTTTCTTCCTAGTCCCTGGAGGATAGTGGATGACTGCGGAGGCGCTTTCACGATGGGAGCGATAGGAGGTGGCATTTTCCAAGCTGTCAAGGGATTCAGAAATTCCCCGGTGGTAAGTAAAAACCGTTTGAGAGTGTGTTCAGAGCGCAGGCCGGCTCTCTCTGCCCATCGACAGGGAACCTGCCCATCCAAGGGTGAAGGAGAAGAAATCCCTGTGCAGGGAGCGGGACTGATGAACGGCACGTTGTTCATCCGGACCAGGAGGGTGCATCGCAGGCTCAGGATCCAGCTGGGTCCTTCATCTTTCCTGGTAACGGTTCTGTTCCCCCCGTTTGGTCCGATGGCAGCAGCGGGACGCTGGCAGCCAGCTGCCCTCCCTCGCTGAGGGATGTCTCCCTCGGGATAAACACCAAAGTTAAAGTTCAGCCAATACGAGTCAGTTGAGATGTTTCCCCTTTGAGGATTTCTGCTGTGAACGTTTTCCTGTAAACCTCTTGTAGGTTTGATAAAATTTGTTAGAATAAGATCCTATTTCTGCTTGAACGTTTGTTTTAAAACTTTTCTCTGGCTTCATATAACAGGGGTTTTTGATGTTACTGTGTGACAGTTTGCCTAAAATTTATTAAGAAGCCAACAGTTTGAGGTAGGTTTTGTAAATAAAGTTTCCAAACTAGTCAGATCCTGCAGATTGACCAGGACTGTGTGCTTAACTGCATCCTTCATTTTGCTCCAGACTTGTTAAGGAAGCCTGTCTATGTTCCTGAGCGCTTATATCAAAAATAAAACTTGAGTGTGTGTTCTTTAAATCTTCTTGGGCAAATACACGGTCCTCATTCTGGGGGGTCCTGGTGGCAGGGTTAGTGCTAGACGCCGGAAGGCTCAGCACCACGTTTAGGAGCTGAATTGCTGGATTCTCTTTGTTATTGAGACCGAGCTGATGGGACAAGGATTAAATGCTCCACCTGAGCAGCAGGAAGGACTAAATTTGGGATGCGTGAGGTTGCTGCTGCCAGCTGAGCACACTGCTCCTGGTCTGCGGGCATCTGCGATAGGATTGTGATGGTTGGGCTAAACTAGAGAAAATACTGATGGCAGTGTAACGTGCCAGCACATGGTTTTCCTCCCGTGGCACAATTTCTCCGGGTGGATTTCCTGAGTCTCCTCCCTGCATTACCTGCCCCTGATTCCACTGTTTCTTCCAAACTGTGTCAAGTGATCGGGCATCAAATGGGAACAAAGAAATAATAGTAATCATCGTCATAATACACACGAACAAGAAATCCTGCTCAAAGTGTTCCTTTAAACATCTCGTTTCCTCCACCACTAGATTGGACTCAAACTCGCATTGTTTCATGCCTGGTGGCTGTAATTAATTTCTGGCATGTTCCAAGGCAGCGATAAAGGCTAAAGCGTGCAGAAATGCAGTTTCTGTCGGCTCCTAATCGCAGCGGTTGAGGGAGTTTAGAAATTCGTGGGGCCTGTAGTGAGTTTGTGCTGCATCCAGTCAGCTTGGCTGCAAGACTTTTTAACTGTCGTTTCTCTTTCGTTGTAGGGTGTGAACCACCGGCTGCGGGGAAGTTTGACAGCTATTCGAACCAGAGCTCCACAGCTGGGAGGTAATGAATTTTGGAGTGGTGTTGCAGTCAGCTGGCTGTTGGTAGATAACCCAGTTTGGGACTGGAACGTGGTACGAGTGACACCTGGGGGTGGGTTTCAGTGGGGTTTGTTAGTCCAAGCAGTGAGTGAATACGGTTCTGATGCATCTAGAATTAGTTTGGTGGGGAGGAAACGTGCTTGTGTTCATGGAGAGATAAGCCAGGGTTCATAATTTTGTCATATTTTAACCAGCTCTGCACAGAGCTGCCTGGAGCCTGTGCGTTGTGCTCAGGGTTTGAAAAACAAACCAAATGGACTCGTTAAAAGAAACGATCCAACCTGGAGAAACGTGAGGTGGTTGGCTGGGATTTCAGGCCATCCCCTGGGGTCAGCAGGATACATCTCAGTCGTTTTTGCAAAGTCAATTGTGTGCGTCAAAGTCTAAAAATGGCAAAACTGCATCTTGAGGCGAAATGCCATCGTGATCTCTGGAAGGTGACAGTGCGGCCGTTCTGCCCAGGAAATGGAATGAGCACGTTACAGGAGAAAATGGGAGCGTGGTGCTGAGCACAGCAACATCGGCTGCAGCAGAACTGCTGAAAAATCGGGGCCACAGGCTGGAAAGGCTCGGCGGCCGCAGGCTGTGGTGACTGCGCAGGGAGGAATCCATCCACCTCCCGGCTCTTGGCTGATATTAAGCCAGTAGGAGGTGTTAGGACACCTCAGGTTAAGGAATGCTGAACTTTACATTGTAGTTTTCCCAAAATGAGTCTGGAGATCAATATTTGTTTATCATACACATTACTGTTTAAAGACTTCAGAATTTGCATTTTGAAAATTGTTGTGGTCTCTCTGCATCTGCCGCGCAATAGGGACCAGCACCGACCTTCGGAGATGGCAGGAGCGAGCAGGCTGGGGATGAGGTGTGACATTGCTCTGCGTCATTCTCTATGAGGAAATATGTTAAAAAGTGAAAAATACAAAGTTCCCTGAGCTAATCTGGCTTTATTAGGATGGGATTTCTGTTGTAATCACTGTTGGATAAGCTTTCTGTCGTTAAGTATAAATCAGTGAGGTTCTATTTTTCTCTGTGTTGATTTTAAAGCAGGTTTGGTTCTTTGTGAGTCTCAATATCCTTCTGTGCCTGAAAGTGAGCACTAATGCTGCGGTGTGGCTGGCTACTCTGCCTTCTCTAAACCGGTTTGTGTCTTTTTTTTTTTTCCAGGTAGCTTTGCTGTCTGGGGAGGTCTGTTCTCCATGATTGACTGCAGCATGGTCAGAATGAGAGGGAAGGAAGATCCCTGGAATTCAATCACGAGCGGAGCCCTGACCGGAGCCATATTAGCTGCAAGAAGTAAGAAACTGAGAATATCAAGAAGTTGCAAAACTTCAGTACTCTAAGTACAGTTCTTGTCATTGCAGTGAAGCACGGGTCTGTGATTCCCAAATTGGAATTTATTTTCTCAGAGAACTTGAAGATAATCTGAAACTTTTGTTCTGTGCTTAAAGATTATTTTCTCACGCATCACTGGCGTTCCTTTGTTTCCTTGAGGGAGGGGAGTTGCCCAATAATTATCCTTTTATTGGTGACGCTAATGAGGCTTCATGGATGCAAAAATACTGCTGCTGGCTCTGCTTCTGGGAGAGATGAAAGAGAGCAGCTCTAATATGCAAAGAAGTAAAAAGCATTGTTTTGTGCTTTTTATTTGTAGATGGCCCCGTTGCCATGGTGGGATCTGCTGCCATGGGAGGAATTCTCCTGGCTTTAATTGAAGGAGCTGGTATTCTCCTGACAAGATTTGCCTCCACGCAGTTCCCGAACGGTAAGGAGCCATTGAGCTACGAGCCATCGGGCTATGCTATCGCAGGGCTTTCACTGCGCCGACTTTCCTGATGGACCTCTTCCAGCCATTGCTCTGATCCCGGAATAAATCCACTCTGCCCGTTCCGGCTTCTGAGGCTGCAGGAAGCCAAGGAGGAGCCACATGTTGAGACAGTGTGTCATCAGCTCCATCTGTCCCTGCTGTCCCTGTCCCCTGCTGCAGCCACACAGCCGGTCAGGAGATGGCAGCAGTGTTCTAGTCGGTGGAGGGTGACACCAGAGGTTTGAGGGAACAGGGAGCAGGCAGGAGGAATGGTTCTGGCAGGCTGGCTGTGGTCTGGTGTGATGTGAGGGTTTGAATGAGGTGAGAAGGATCAGCAGGCAGATAAAGAACAAATTTCAAAGAGGGCTGGAGGTGGTGGTGTTTCTTTTTCTAAACTGCCTCGAAAACTAGATCCCCCCTTTTTTTCTGTAAGGAGAATGCAAGCTTAGGTGTCAGCCATTTGTGTACATACTCGTCTGTGCAAAATCCTTACTACCCCTGTCCCCCCACCCGATCTGGGGAGGAACACAGACAGAACCCCCAGTGTTGGAAGGATTACCAGCAAACCACTAATTCCTGAGAGGCTTCCTCTCTCACGTTGGTTCGCTGACGTTCTTTGTTCAGTCTAACTTGTAACATTTTCTCTTCTTAATACAAAGACATTTTAAAAGGACTCTGCTTTAGAGAAAGGGTATCATCTGTCCATCACAATTTATTCTCTCTAGAACTGGCAGCCAGTAACCATGTTGCTTCCCTCCAGCAAAGCGTCAGGCAGAGGGGTCGGGAGGCTGACTCCACAATGAGTTGTTCCGTTTCACTGCCTTGCTTTATTGTCAGGCAAGTTACCATGGGGAAACCTTTCCAGAGCAGCTAAGGTCACCCGAAGGGCAATAAGGGACAGGTTTCCAGCTCTGTTAGTGACTGAAAACTTTACCTACCTCATGCTCTGGACATTGGTTTTTGCTCTTGCAGGAGCCCAGGTCCACAATTGAAAATGTCCAGTGATGGCTCCCATGGGAAATGTGCCAGCAGCAAAAGTGAGGGCTGATTGTCACCTTCCCCCAGCACTGCATTTACAGCCACACCAACAT